GCTTTGTAGTCAGAGGGACAATCCTGCTTCTGCCTCTCACTGGCACTGTGATGAGGAAGTTTCATGTCTTTACCTTGCGACTGGGAAGGAAGGTAACTGACCCTGTATTGTCTCCCTAGTTATTGGGGGTGGAGGTAGGGGTATGAGACCAACCTTTGTGGGCAATAGGGCATAGTTTCCTAAAGAAATGAGATTGTCACACTTGAATGGTTTGAAGAAAGTTGGGTTCTTCTTCCCAAGTGGTGGCCTTGGGAAGGAAGGTGGGAAAGTAACAGCTTGGGGATGTTCATGAGAGGAACCCTATTGAGTAACATGAGAGTAACCTTGTTTACTTTTTCCATGTGCTTACATGCTCCATAAAATAAGATTTTCTTGGGAATGTTGTAATTTTCACCAGTTCATTACAATTTAAAAAAAATTTTAGTACTCTATTTCATATAACCATATATCCAAAATATTATCATTTTAACATGTAATCAAAATAAAAATTTATGGATGAGATATTTTATGTTCTTTCTTCCCTTGTTGTTTGTACTGTCTTAGAAATCCAGCATGTATTTTATGCTTATAAGGCATGTATGGCTAGTGGTCACTGTACTGAAACAGCACACTTCCGGATTATCTGCCCAGAACACTCATTTAACAAATGGGAAAAGCAAGGCCCAGGGAGAGGCCACAACTCGCTCCATGGAAGGCAGGCTGTTAGTTTTCTCCCATGTCACTCTGCCAGGTATGGTGTCCGAGGCCCTGCCCTACCTGTAGTGGCCCCCAGATACATGCCATCCCTGGCCTCCAAGGAGAGGGGCTGCCCACACATTGATTAGGCTTGAGGAGGCCTGCATAACCTCTTATTTTACCTACCAGCCTGTGATCATCTTCTGAGGGCTTGTCATTTGGAAGTTTTGAGTTCATAGGCAGGGTAGGAATGCTTGGAGTCTGCTTCCTCTCTTAACACCCCCACATTCAGTGACTAAAAGGGAACCATGAATCACACCTCTCTGCACAGCCTAGTTTGGAGGTGCTTTGGTAAACAGAGGGACCAGAGAGTACCAATAAATTTGACCTACCTCAATCCACGGTATCACTAGTGCAAGGAGTAGGTCTGTGGTCCAGTTCCATTCACTGGCCAGCAGCAAACTTGGAGGAAAGGGGAGTGACACCAAGATGAAGTCACCATGGTCATAGAAGACTCAGAAATAGCATTTTCCGATCTCACTTTCCCCTAGATATTAAATCTAGATGGTGATCCCTGAGGGCATGGAGGGATGATGCTGTGTTATGTAAAGGTTAGCAATTCTGAATGTGAACTATCTGCTTGGATTACTAAGTGCTTAGTAGTTGGCTGACTTTCGTCTCATTATGTACATCCAATCTGGATACAATTATCATCTGGAAGGAGGTGAGCACTAAGTTTAGGCTCCGGAGCTAGAGTGCATGTGTTTGTACCTTGGCTCTAGTATTTCTTTTCTTTTTAAAGATTGATTTATCTGAGAGAGAGAGAGAGAGAAAGAGAGAGAGATAGAATGCCAAAAAGGATTCCCTGCTGACTGAGGAGCCAGACATGGGGCTCCATTCCATGATCCTGAGATCATGTTCTGAGCCAAAACCAAAAGTCAGACACTGAACTGGCTGAGTCACCCAGGCATCCCTCTAATATTTCTTAATTTTGTCACTTTGGTAAAATCCATTAAACTAAGGGCCTCAGTCTTCACATCAGTCAACTTGGAATAATAGAATTTACCTAATTGGATTGTTGTAAGGATTAAACTAAATTCATGTGCGTTAAGTGCTTTGACCAGTGTTTGGTACATGATAAGTGCTTTAATAAATGTTAGCTAGAAATGGTGTCTACTCATTATAAAAAAATGTCATTATAAGGTTGTGTAGACTCAATGGTGTACTGGAATTATAAGGCTGTAAAATGTTTAAAGTAGTATCTTGAGTTGCCTACAACACAGATTTGTTATGTTTAAATGTAATAATATATATGAAAGTGTCTTATGAAATCAAAATAGTATGCAAATAATTTTTCTTATTCAGTACCATTAAAAAAGAAAAAAAAAGCTAACAATACAAATTTTTCTTTGGATTTTTGATCACCATAATATTGGGAAAGCCAGAGTGCATGCAATTTCATGACAGATTATTTCATCCTTACAGAAAATGCTAGTAAAATCTCTTAATGCCCACAGGACAATTCATGTACAATTTAAAAAAAATCAATAGAAAATTGCTTTCCTATATATCCTACAAAGATGGCTTCCTGGGACTACTGTACAAAAGTCTATTATGTTTGAAGTTCTGTTTGGTATTTTTTTTTTAACTCAGCAGACAGCAGTAAAGCGTGAATTATTTTTGTTCACGTAATAACAGATACATATTATTCTGTAGCTTTACAGCAAAACATGCTCCTTTTCACGGAGAGTGATATAAGCATTTCTTAGTGTCGTAAACCTTTCAGACAAAACTAGGTACACCAAATGAGACTGCAAATTTATTGATGTTGGTAAGTCCCATGTGTTCATCCTCCTCCTCCAGTCTTCCACTGAGAGATGGGAAATGCAGTGTTTCAGGGAGATAGAGTCATTGTCACAGAGCAGACAACAAAGGTTCACGACCTCTGAGCTCTTAGGAAATGTCATTCTATATGTGAAAAGCAGTAATGTTATCTGAGTTGCAAAGAATCTGTGGTTATTTCAAAGATATAGCTGCTTTCCTTTTATTTAAGAAGTTTTATGGAGAAAGTTTAATGGCATCACAGAAAGATGCTTTGTTCAGATTCACATTTATCTGAAATTTGTTATAACTTTATTTCATGTTAGATCTATGAATTCCCAGAGCAGCTTTCCCCAAATGTTAATAGATACAATAATGGGCACTGTTTCATCATTATATTTTTCGCTGTTAAATAAAGTAGGAAGTGTGTTGAATTTAAACAGGTGTGTGTATATGTGTGCATGTTATAGAAGCTTTAAAATGTCAAGAGGCACACTGACCCTCCCAAAGGAATGTGTAGTATGAAATGTTTTCCAAACTTATGTGATCATAGAACTACTCATTTAAGAACATTTCAGAGAACAGTTATGCCCCAGAATACATGTTGGTAAATCCATTTCATGTGGTTGTTAGGTGAGCTAATGACCAGAGTGTTTATAACACTTTGATGCTTATAGCATCATTAAAAATGGTTTAGAGGGGGGATCCCTGGGTGTCTCAGCGGTTTAGCACCTGCCTTCGGCCCGGGGCCTGTCCTGGAGTCCCGGGATCGAGTCCCACATCGGGCTCCCTGCATGGAGCCTGCTTCTTCCATCTGCCTATTTCTCTGCCTCTCTTTCTGTGTCTCTCATGAATAAATAAAATATTTTTTAAAAAATGGTTTAAGAGGGGGTAGTAATCACTTAAGCTGAAGGGAATCGGGGGCTGTATAAAGAAGGCATTTGAGGTGGGCCATGAAGGATGAGGAAAATTCTGACAGGCAGGTTTGGTTAATTGGGAACTTTTCAGGTGCAGGAAGAGGTATAAGCAAAGAGTAGAGATGTTAATTGCCTATGTTAATAAAGTTGGCATAATACTTCTTAGATTTCAAAGAACAGGGCTTGAATGTTAACCAAAGGTCAAATTCTTATTCAGAAGCTGTACCCTTTATACAGTCTTTACATATTAAGTTAGCAAAGAAGGCTGAGCAAATTATATAGAGTCTTGGATTCTAAACTAAAGCATTTGGACTTAAGTAATGTGCACTTTCCCCCCATTTCTTATCCTACACAGAGAGAACATGAACATTTAGTATTTTGGTGTAAAACTATGTAAATATGTAAATGCTATACCTTGTGAATAGACCTCAGTGTTAGTATGTCATAGTAGAACCACTGAGAAGGTTACGTACAGAAGCACATGTATGGCCACCTTCAACATATCAGTAAGGGTTGTGCACTTTTAATCCAAGGGGGAAGTAAACTGGCCCTCCTCCCCCTTCCCTCCTAATACCTTGAAGCACCTCAGATGAATGATAAGCCTGTAATATCACAAGGCTGACTTCTGTAAACCATTTGTAAGAAATGTTTAGTGCTTAAAATGGTGAGCTTTTGCTGGTTTTGTAAATGTTAAGGCAGTGTAGTGTTCCAATATCTTAGTGACAGAAGAGAGATGATGGTCTAAACCCTATTTCCAAATCAGGAAACCCTGAGGCTTCAGCCATGGTTCTTTCAGGTAATAGTTGCTCCAAGGGCAGATGCGGCAGGTAGAGAATTTTTATTTCCATATTGAATGTAAACCCTCTAGTGTAATGAAGAGTTGTGGCAGTTTGCACTCAACTTGCTGCAGCAATAAATACTTGTTCTTGTGGGCTTCTCGGTGTCCTCACAGACTCTCGCTTCTCAGAACCTAGGGCCTGCACAAGAGACTGATTTGTTAGGTAACCTGCCTGGAACCTGTTTCCTGGGGAGGAACTGTTGCTTCATGGCTTTACCGCTCCCTCAGGACCCCTTCGCCCCCACCCCGCCCTGTCTCCCACACACAGGCCTGACTTATGTGCTTCCCATGATGGCAAGTAGCCAGTCTGACCAACTGTTGCTAAAGTGTGCCTGGTACAGGAGGAGCTGCTTTCCCTCCTCCCAAGCAACAGCTCCAGCTAGAGATGAGGCTAAAAGACAATGTTCAAGCACCACTTTTTCCCCCTCACCACCCCCACTGCCCGTGTCATGCAAGCTCGGACACATCCAAAACATGGCGCTAAAAGCCTCCGCCCATGGGGTGTTGCAGCCTGAGGAGAAAGGCACAGTCCAGGCAAGCCAGAATAATATTTTTGAGCTAGGCTCCCATTTCCTCAAAAAGGAGAGGTGGGGAGCTGCCAGCACATCGCAAAAATCTCCACATCCATTGCCAATGTGTTTAAGCCAATTGTGCTAAGCTCCCCTTCAAGTGAGAAGAACTGGAGTATGCAGTCTGGCTTAGGGTGATTTTCATGTGGGTGTTTGACAACAGAAGCATGCTACTACGAATCCAAGAAAATAAATTTATTAAACTTTGAAGGAAAAAAATCCACAGACATAAGGAAAGTTAAATATAAACTGCAGGACACAACTAGTCATACTAGTGAATAATGGCTTGTGTGGCCAGCAAAGTACCAAAATGACATTCTGAGACCGATTGAGGTATTTAGCTATTTTTGGCTATAGAAATTGTTGTCAGCCTATTGTGAAATAGTAAGATAGTTTTCCCAAGCACACAGTTTTAAGTTGAATTAGGTTCTACACTGATGAAATTGTATATGAAACTAAATGATGTAGCTCTTAGAGAAAACCATAGCAGCAAGGTAGCAGAAAATCTATGAAACACCTATTACAAAGTAACATATTGAACTTGGAACACCCAGTTCTAGCTTTTCACTGTCCTTCCTGCAAGAAAGAGGGATTTTAAAATTACCAACCATTAAGCCTGTTTCCTAAAAAGGTCTGAGCTAAATGGCAAATACTATTTAAGTTACAGTGAACTTTAAAGTTTCGTTAAATGTAAAAAAAAAAAAAATACTTAAGGTGAGAAGCATTCTTCAGTGAGATGAGATTCTTCTCCTTTGACAAACCTTTTGGGGACCAATCCCAACGCTCCTAAGAATGGTGCTGAGGTTACCAAGGGATTGAACGATAATAATTTATACATTACTTCGGCCCCCTTGTTCTTCTGACTACCCGCTTTGAGGCCAAGCCACTCAGAGGGGAAATACAAAATGAGGAGACTTCTTCATTGCTACTTTAAATAAACCAAAGAAAGGGTCTGGTGAGGGAGAAAGTTTCTGCTCTGGGTTTAGGATAATTTTGACTTATCTGTGGGGATTTAAAAATCTTGTTTCTTCTGCTTCTTGTTACCAGGAGTAGTGGGTATATGTGTCTGGCTATTGGCTGTGAATCAAGAACCTATTTCTTGAACTTTTTATTCCATGATCTGGTTAACTTCACTTCGACCTGCTTCAACTTACAAAATGCTTCTTGTACTTTATTCCCTTCTTAGGTAACCACGTAATAAAGTCAAGTTGTATCTGAAGAGATGCTACTGCAGAGCTTCTGGGGCCTACCTCTCGGGGTCGGCCTGCCCTAAAGAGCTCACTGTACCTGCCACAGTAGCACCCAAGCAGCCTGCCAAACTGACTGGCTATCCTTCCTACTTCTCCTTGTGTGGAGCTCTCTGCAATGAACCAAAATGTGGGTAAGAAAGAGTTGTTTTGGTTCATGATGAGTTGACCTGCACATCCATCTTAAAAGTTTTCTCAATGAATACATTTAAAAAAATTTTTTAAATAAGGTGAGCCTGTTCCAGTAATGCAGGTAACTACAATCATTTTAGGATTGTTTAAGAATGGAGGTACAAAAAGGGCCTGGTAAAAAACTAACTTGTTTGTTTTTCTTTAGGTGTACTGACCAAAGCAGTAAAAGTAGCTTTAGACTGTAGTTGCTACATTCTTTAGATGGGTCTGCATGAACTACAGTACACAGTGTGTAGTGTGATATAAAATAGCCGTGCTTGAAGTGTAAATTATTAAAAATATCTTTATAAATTTTATGTCAAAATAAATGTTTTACATATCCAAACTACTTTTTTGCCTTCTTACCTATAATTTTAGTTCCCAATCATTAAAAAAAAATTAGCCTGTGCTGATTTGCATTTCATTTTCCTGAACTTCAAAAGCCACCTGATTTTTCGCTTTTTCAAAAAGCATGATTTACTATACATTAAAAACAGCCATTCAATACTTAGTATCACAAAATTAACACCCACATTAACAAGACAATCACTGCCACTAAACAGTCTTTGAGACAATTCTTTAAAATATTTACAATTCACAATAGGAATATCCATCTGATTCGGCCTTCTTATTTTCTTTTTTTTTTTAATATTATGTTTCAACATTTCAGGAAAAGGCATTTAGAATCCACTCCCCCATCCCCCCCGAAAAGGTTTAAACATTATTTTGGTTTAAGCACTCACGCCCTAGCCCACGCTTCACCATTAAATATGCAGCTCGTGGGAAACCAAAGAAAGGCTACGGCATGATTTTGTTCAGTTGGTCTGTGCTTACGTAGCCACATGATGAGAGAAACTCTTTGTCAGGCAAGGGCAAGGCAGTCGCATTGAGCACAAGGCCCCGTGGAGACTGGATGATGTGAATGGAGGTATAGTCTGGGACAGGCATCTCAGAACTCACAGCCCTCTCAGTTGTCCCAGACTGGCCAGCGGTAGTGGTAAGGCTTTCTGTGGTGATGTAAATGTCTTCCTGGTTAAAGCTTGGCTCTACACGTGATTCAGCCTCGACGTGAGGGGCCACAGTGATGCACTTTTTGGCATCTGCCTCACAGAAGTAGGCATTGTCCATGATGAAGTTGGCTTGGCAGAGTGAGGCCACTTCTGGAGGCATGTCACATGGAGATATCCCTGCCTTATTCTTTTGGCCTGGGGAAAGGACTACACTCCCCGCTGGAGTAATGTCGCTTACCTGGGCATAAAAGTCAATGTTTGCCAGTGAACTCGGGTTGCTTAGCTGAGTATGGGCAGCTTGCTGAGTTGACTCAGTTCCACTAATTAGAAGTGGTCTTGGTTTGTTTTCCTTCGCCAGGATAATGCTGGGCTGCTGAGTGGTAGGGGTAGTATCAGTAGAAGGTGAGTTATTTTGATTCTTCTGGTCAAGGCACAAGAGATCTACTTCCCCTTTTAACCTCTGTGGCTGAGCAACCTCTGAAGTACCATCACACACATCACTGGCATTAAAATCAGTCTCCAGAATGTCAGGTTCGTAACAGCTGGTACGTCCAGAGTCATCATCCTTTGCCCCAAGGATGTTAAGTGATTTCTCATGGTCATTGCTTAGAAGTCTGTCTGTGTCTGATCCTTCGGTCTTTTCATCTAGGTCATCAATATCCAGCTCAATGAATTCAACCCAAGAGTCATCGTTGTAGAATTCAGGTTTATAGTTCTCATGAATGGCTAAGATTGTATTCACCTCTTCTAATTTTCCTTCCTAGGAAACAGAGAGAAAATGAAATCTCTGAAAAGAAACTCACACAAACAACATTCAGAGACTAAAATTATGGTTGCAATAAGAACAATAGTAACAAAACCATATAATCAAAAACACAGTGTAGAACTTTTCCTGAAAAAAATGTTTTAGAACTTTTAAATATACAAGACATTCTCATAATTTTTTCTTAAAGATTTTATTTATTTATTCATGAGAGGCACAGAGAGAGAGAGGCAGAGACACAGGCAGACGGAGAAGCAGGCTCCACGCAGGGAGCCTGAAGTGGGACTAGATCCCTGGTCTCCAGGATCACACCCTGGGCTGAAGGTGGTGCTAAACCACTGGTCCACTAGGGCTGCCCAACATTCTCATAATTTTAAGATATATTACTTTGAAACACTTTTCTCCAGAGGGGTTAAAAAGTGAAATGTGATACAGATAGCTTGCAAAAGCTTTCAACATAAGACAAATGGTCTTTAGGAAGCATTTGATTAGTGTTACTGATCTCTTAGATAATTTATTAGTACCTTGAGGAGATCTGGATCAATTCCTTTAATCTTTGGAACTGGAACTGGGGGAAGAATCAGCATCTTAATCCTTGAAAACAAATGAAATTTAGGTTTGACTTATCTGTAAAGTTATACATTCTCTTATTTCAAAAGATAGAAATAAAATATTGGTAGCATTATTACTTATTCCAAGTATTCTGGTGTTCCACATATGCAGAATATGAGAAAGAAAATATTAAGTAGTAAATAATGGGGAAAAACTATAGAAAAAAAGAAACAATAAAAAAAAGCCCTCATGTGAAGTCAATTTAAATAAAACATGGTTTCCTAAAATCTTTTTTCCCCTTATGTTTTTATTGAGAATCAGCATTAGTTTTTGGGAATGAGAAATTTGATTCCATCTGAAGTCAACTTCCATTCCATCTATAAGGATGGCAATTTTAATGGACATCTCATCAGTAATTGGCAGAGAAGAGGAGGAAAGGAAAGAAAAAAGAAATGAAAGAAAAAGAAAGAAAGAAAGAAAGAAAGAAAGAAAGAAAGAAAGCGAGCCAGTGAACATGCAAATTATTTGCACCCTCAAAAAAGGATGGACTGAGCTAAGTTTACACCATGGCTGACTTAAATAAAATTATCTAAGATTGATATCATAAACCAGGTGTCATTGCCGGGTTCATTTCGGCTGGGAAATACTAAATTTGAACTATCTTTAGTATGGATCAGCATGGATCAGTATGGATCTATATACCCAATTCTATGATGCCCTTAAATTTTCTGTTCTAAATATTTAAATTATTTTTTGACCGTAATTCATTTCAATGTCTCTTCTACCTGTCTTGCATTTTATCATATCCCTAGTACTTAGAACAATTCCTGACACATAGAAGGTGCTCAATTAAACACATCTTGAATACATTTGAATGCCTCACTTATCTAGTTTGTTAATAGTGCAACTAGAATTTATGTCTTAAAATGAACATTGTAGCTCTGGAAAAAAGCTCGGTGATTAGCTATTCCAGTCAACTCATTTGTTTTTTAGGAGTCAGAGATGCCACTGTTGGGCAGGGATGATAAACTGCTTTTGGGAGATTAGCTGATATTCAACCTAATGTGAATGGACAGTCCAGTCTATTCAATAGGGAACCCATTCTCTGAATATTTCCATCTGCTTTTTTACCTAACCAAGGAATAAGCTGAATTCCATTTTTTAAATTGCTGTAAGTAGCCTCCACTAGGTTTACTTAGTGGGGCCAGTGTTAAAACAACTTTGTACTGATGAATAGAAGATATAGAAAAAATATAAATTATCAATAATAACTGCTACCATTTTTTTTGAAAGCCTCTGATAAACCAGACACAGTAAGATATATTTTGCAATAACCTGTGGGCTGACAAATAATGGCCTGACAGCCAAATCTGGTCTGTTCTCTGTTTTTATAAATGAAGTTTTATTGGAACACAGTCATATTCATTAGTCTGCACAGTGTTATGACTACTTTCATGCCACAGTGGCAGAGTTGAGTAGCTGTGACAGAGACTGCATGGCCCCAGAAGCCTAAGAAGCCCTTTATAAAACAAGTTTGTCAACCATACACTAAACATTTTATTTAATTCTTACAACTACTAGGGAGGCAGATGACATTATTTGTGGAAAGATTTAGGAAATTTAAGGAATGCATTAAAATCATACACTAATACTTGGCACAGCTGGGCTCAAATCCAAAGTACCCAACTCCAAAACCCAGGTCCTTTGCCTTCTGTCATGCTGCGGTGTTATTTGGTCCTGCATCTCTAAATGAATGTTTTAAATGTCAAAAACATAGAAAAAAATAACACAACTGCAGTTACAGGAAGCAAAGATTCCCAAATGTCTGATGCTTGACTTTGTTATATGTGCCTCCTGTTTTTCGCAGAGGACGATGCATTTGGGTGCATGTTAGCTACCTGGGAGTTACGGTTGACTTCATGCCAGGATGACACACCTGGCGGCCTTTAGGCTTCAAGCAGGTCATGCAAATGAATGAAGCAGGCCTGCTGTGACGTCATAGGGAGGGGTGGGAATGGTGACAGACAACACATGTCCTTACCAAACGGAATAGTTGCCCCCTGCTTCAGCATATGTTGCCATGCAGGAATATTCTTTTTTTTTTTTTTTTTTTGATTTTTTTTCTAGGAGTCTCCCTAGATCTTTCAGTTTTTAAAGATGCCCTGGAAATCTGGATTTTTATGTGGGAATTCCCTAGTCTGTCAACATTTTGTAGCAAATCAACATAACATCAAGTAACAAAACATTAGGATCTGCAGGCAGGGTTTGGCTTTTGGGTGGCCAATTTGCCACTTCTGTTTTATGCTGATCCAGTTTCCTGATTAGTAATAGCTGGAAGGCTGGGATGAGTCGGATGGTGGGAATGACTGAAAACAAAGTGCAGCTGAACTGGCTTGAAACTATGGGACTTTGCTCTCATTTTATTCAAATCCAAATTACATTATAAATCTTGCTACAGTTGATTCTCAATTATCTGGAAAATGAAAAGTGGCATGGACTCAACACTTCAAACAATATGTAGGACCTGATGCCCTTTAGAGCCCTAACATTTTGGGGAAAGCTGACATAAGTCCCTCCTTCTTCGGAGTATCATTTTAATCATTTTAATTATTAGAACTTCATGTTTGTTCCACACCTGCTGACAACTGTTTTCTTCCATTTTTTACTTTCATTGGAACATGGACATTTAGATCATGACAAGGTTTTTATGGGTAAATGAAAGAACAAAACTAATTCTTTTCTACAAAGGACTTAATTTAGTACAGGAAATTTGAGAGATAAAGATTTCAGAACAATTTTATAATTTGGTAATTCTGACTAAATGTCAAAGTTAAGAACTTCATTATTCTCAGAAAACACTCTTATACAATGGTTACTATATTTTCTTTAGAATTCTATTTGTTGAGAGAATTATTTTTCTTTGAAATATTGTTAATTAATATAATTAAACAATGTAACAAATTTACATGGTCTTCACAATGACTCAAAATTGACAGCTATTAAAAAAACAAAAAAAACTGACAGCTATTGTTTTTTTTTTTGACAGCTATTGTTAAGAGTGAATTACTTTATATACATACTGGGTCTGTCTACTGTAGTTATGTATAAATTGCCCATCAACTGTATAAATCAATAAATTCAAATCAACAGAATAATTTGGCTCCTTTGTTGTTGGCATAACTTAAATATATAAATTACTTAAAATTCTATAAATTTATTTACTACTTTTTCCCCAAACAATTGAAAACTGTATTGTTTTGCTTTATAATACTTGTGCTTGTAAAAAAAAATGTTGCTCAAAGGTTAGATGCAAAATGAAATTTTGCAGAATGAATTTTGTCCGTTTGGTTTATATTATAGAACTGAAGATGCAACTCTAATTAAAAAGCTTTTGTAATGTATTTACATAGATCCTGTTTTGATTTGTAGATGCCTCCTGGCTCAGCTGCAGAAAGTGCCTTCCGTTCTAGGTAGGGTGACTGACCATCTTGGTTTGTCTGGAACTGAGGGCTTTTTCAAGGCACAGGACTTTCAGTACTCATACCAGGAAAGTTCCAGGCAAACTGGGAGGGTTAGTTACCCTAGTTCTAGGAGAAGGGGCAAGATCAACCCCTTAATCCTAAGGACTTAAAAATACTCTAAATGTAAGAAAATTTACAATCAGTACCAATATCTTTTCCTATATTTTGTATTATAATTTCCTGTAGTCTGTGTGGAATTTCTTTCAGGAAGAAAAATAGAGTGACAGCTCATATAGCTCAAGAGAAATTTAAGGGTCATATAATCTAGCATGCTTTTGTTACCCATGAGAACATGCAGCCCAGAGAGGTTAAGGGACTCAAATGAGATTAAGCAGCAGTTGCAGAAATAATTACTAGAATCTGAGTCTTTTTTTTTTTTTTTAAGAATCTGAGTCTTTTGACAACAAGAGAATACAGAACAGAATTTCTTTAAACTTAGAAAGAATTTTAGCTGTGTTTACAAATGTAGGATAACCTTGTTGTCCTAGAATGAATGGGCCAGTTTGCTTAGGACTTTGGAGAGATCAAGGGGCAGCTCTGAGATAACAGTTTTGTTAAGGGGTGCCTATCACAAGGTATGCAGCCACTAGCCTCTTAATGTCCTATACATCTTCCCAGATAGACCAGACACCCATGAATTCTCTATGATGGGCACAACAAAGCTGTAAATGTATAACTAGAGATAACATTTTACTGCATTAATTAAAATTTTCACTTGTGATTTGCAAAAAAGATATCAAGTAACATATGGAAACACATCTGGAAATCTAAACACTAGCAAAAACATCTACTTAGGTTATTTCACACCTACCTTTGTTGTTTAGAAAATATGAATAAAAATAATATCATCGTTAGCCCAAATATTCCAAAGATAATAATTAAGAACCATGGAAACTGGAAATCTGAAACACAAAAGAGTATTATCTCACTCATAGAACTGGGAATACTTGAAGTTTACATTTCACTTTTTTACATAAAAATATTTAATTTGTATTCATCTAGTAAAGTCAGTGATTTCTCTTGATAACCACTAAAACAGAATGTAATGACGTGGGAGTATTTTCTATTCCAAGAACATCTCTGTCCACTTCTTCAAATCCTTTCATATATGAAAAAACATCGAAGTGAAGAAAAAGCAAACAGTTGAGGCGCAATCCATATTTATATAAAAAAATCCACAACAACTGCTTTAAGCATCTGATGTGTTCAGGGTATATCATTAATGGCTTCAGCTCTAGAAAAAAAATGCTGTTTGTTAACATACGACTTTACCCAAATAATGTCCACCTAGTTCCTCCTTCCTTCCTTCCCTCCCTCCCTCCCTTCCCCTCTCCTCTCCTCTCCTCTCCTCTCCTCTCCTCTCCTCTCCTCTCCTCTCCTCTCCTCTCCTCTCTCCTCCTCCCTCTCCTCCTCCCCCCTTCCTCCTCCCTTCCTCCTCCCTCTCTCACCTTTTTTTAAATTTCATATGGTAATATATATTTTTTTATCCTCCAGACTGAGGATCCATCAAAAAGAGGGCAGCAGAGTTTCTATTTTTGACTCATGAAAAACTTCTTAAACATGCAGACATCAATTTTACAGTTTACAAAATACCCTTTGACAGAAGTTCACTACTGGGAGCCCCAACTTCTACTTGATGGCAGAATTGGGGGGATTTGTTCATAAAACTTCATTTCTTAAGACCAAGTGCCTACCAGCTGCCTGCAGTAGGTTCCCAGTATTACCCACTTTTTAATTGAAACATAGTTGACATACAATGTTCTATTAGTTACGAGTGTACAACATAGCGATTCAACAATCTGACACATTATTCAGGGCTCACCGTGATAGCTGTAGTCACTCTCTGTCACCCTACAACGCTATCACAGTAGTATTGGCTACATTCCCTATGTTGTACTTTTCATCCCTGTGACTTATTTATTTTATGACTGGAAGTCTGGATCACTTAATTCCCTTCATCTATTCCATCCATCCTCCCCCACATGTCCTCCCCTCCCCTCTGGCAACCACCAGTTTGTTTTCTCTATTTATGAGTCTGTTTCTGTTTTTGGTTTGTTGTTGTTCATTTGATTTGGTTTTTTAGATTACACATATCAGTGAAATCACAGGGTGTTTGTCTTTCTTTGTCCGGCTTATTTCACTTAGCATAATACCCTATAGCTTCATCTATGTTGTTGGGAATAGCGAGATTTCATTCTTACTATATTCCGTTGTATATATGTATCACAACTTCTTTATCCATTTGCCTAGTGATGGACATTTAGGCTGCTTCTCTGTCTTGGCTATTGCAATGAGGCCGGGGGTATATATACTTTTTAAAATTAGTGTTTTCATTGGGGAAATACCCAGTAGTAGAGTTACTGGATTGTATGGTATTTCTATTTTTAATACTCCATTTTTAATACTCCATTCTCAAGACTCTATACTGTTTTCCCAGGTGCCTGCTCTAATTTATCTTCCCACCAACAGTGCAGGAGGGGGGTTCCCTTTTCTCCACCTCTTCATCAGGGTTATCTGCTGTACACGAAAAGACCAGTGGAATTCACTTTATTGTTGTTTCATTAAAAGTAGGATTTTTTTATGCTGAAATATTCCTTTGTTATTTTTATTTTATTTTTATCAAAATCCCCAAGGCAAATATTATGGATAATATAGAGAATTAGTGGAGCAGAGAATGGCATTCTGTATCTTGTGGCATCTGTAACTTTCAGTAACATACTCAGGAATACAACAAAGCTAGAACTTATTTTTTTTTTAAACATGGAAGGAAAAACCAATTAAAAGATCTATGCCTAACTGAATTAAATGACATCATAAAAAGCTTAAAGAGTGTGTGGCAAATGTGCTTTTTAAACCAGAATTTCATTATGTCAAATATTGTTTAAAAGAACAAGCCTGTTAACTAGAACTTAGGAAAAAAATGATGCTACAGGCATTTTCATTTAAGTGCTCTTTAGTATCATGGGTTTTACCTGTAGCATCCATGCAGAAAGAGAAATTTAATTTCTCTATAGCTTGTGACTGTTTCATCAGCAGGCCTCAGCTCCTCATACATAGCCCTGTAAACCTTCTATGCTTCACTATAGATGTAATACAGCTAATTCCCACATGGGAGTGACAACTTTATATACTTACTGTTCATTGTTTTTTTTTTTATAAATTATTTTTTATTGGTGTTCAATTTACCAACATACAGAATAACACCCAGTGCTCATTCCGTCAAGTGCTTACTGTTCATTGTTAAGCAGATTTCTTTATTTCTGTATCAAAAGTTCTAAATTTTTAATTCTCAATTCATAGATCTCATTTCTTTCAACTTGAATTATCTTTGTATTTTTCTTAAATAGGATCTTCAAATGTTCCATGTCATTCTGGCACATAACTAGCGTACTACTTTTCAGGCTTATCTCCAGGTAAAAGCCGTGCCTAACCTTTCTGAAACCAATAAGTAGCTGCCATCGACTACGTATGCTGACACAATATTAGGCTTTCTCTTAGATGTCATATATCCATCTATCCATATGGATCCAGTATTTCTTCACTATGCATTTAAAAAGCATTTTTTCTGATTATAAATGCAAAACAAACTCATTATAGATATCTTTAGAAATATAGAAACATATAAACAAAAGAACCATCTGAAAGTCTGTTATCCAGAGATATCCCATTAATATCTTAGTGCATCCTCCCCTCTCTAGCTTACATCTATCTCCAGACATTTCCTGAATTAAATCATCATACACGAAGTTCTCCTTCTGCTTTTGTAATGAATAAGATCTGTTAAAAAGAGTGAACTTGAGGTCTCTCACCCTGACTTTTGATGCTAATGGATCATGGTCTGACCAACACTCTGACAATGTAGGCAATGTATTACTCTATTGACAAAATCCATGTTGGCTGCCATTTTAAATCTTTTACCTTCTTCACATGCAAATGGACTCATTTGAGGAAGTGTTACATAGAGCACCTCACTGAACTCGCCATATTTTTCAGAGTTTCGTTGTCTAGATCTCACACGCACTTCATATTCTTTATCCACTCTCAACGAGTAAACTGGAACTGATGTTGACAATACAGGGTCCATCTTTCAAGACAAAATAGAAAACTTATTGGTTAGTAAGACAACAACTCAATGAGATAAACTCTATTAAGGTGCTTCTGTATTTGTATTCAAAATGAACTTTTGAAAAGTGAATCTTATTTTCCATTGCACTGGGGGGGGGCGGTTGGACAAGGTCAGTGCCTGTGTGGCCACTGGCCGCTACTCACAACCAGGCACAGAGCTGGGTGCCCATTGCAATGGCATGATTTAGCAGGGAGGTGGCTGTCATTGGCTATTTAATTTTTCTTTTTATGGCAAGACTGTCATGGAGCCTAGATATTTCAGGAAATCCAGTATCAAAGTTTTCTTCTTCCTAGAAGAAAGAACCTAACAGACCAGTAACAATGGGAGAAACGGAGAAATTTATCAAAAAACTACCCCCCCCCCAACATCAGGCCCAGATAGTGTTACAAGTTAAAAATATCCTTCATGAAGAAAAAAGCTCTTAAGCAACATGGTGGATTCAGAAGCTCATGACAAGAGGCTACCCTTTCTAATATCTTCCCAACAAGATCTATCACCTCATACTACATATGCTGGTGAAATAACGCATTATTTGTGTGGTCACTGTGCAGCTTTCAGCAACGTAGCAATCACTTTTCCCACTCGGAAAGCTGTATGGAATCAAAACCTGGGATGCAGGGCTTCAGTTGGGGAGGGATGGTTTTTGAAAACTGTACTGCGGAATCCTTCCCCCACTGATGCAGAAGACAGCTATGCTGGCACTTACGTCTGGTCCATATGAGGATTTATCTTGCCTTCTCTGAAAGCATTAGTACCTCTGATTTGCAACCCACAGTGTGACAACCGTGATTGTAGGGACAACAGAAGCAATTTTCACTCCATTGGAAAGAGTTCAGGCATTGCTTCAAGATCACAAGCATCATGACAAATTTACAAGCACTTACCAGGCTTTCAAGGCACTCAAATGCCATGGAATTAGTATTATAGAAGCTTGGTACCTGTTCTTTTCCGTAATGGATTCAGGAATGTCCTTTACTTTGGCCTTCTAGGTCTCATTAAGGAATATCTGCCTACCACAACAACTCACAGCACTCATTTGGTCACAGATTTTATCTGTGGAGGTCTGTTGGGTGCCGTGTTGGGAATCTTGTTTTTCCCAGTGAGTGTTGTGACAACTCACTTGCAGTCCCAGATTGGTGGAGAATTTCAGTCTTTTCCCATGGTTTTCCAGAAAATCTGGCTAGAATGGGACAGGAAGCTGATGAATCTTTTCAGAGGGGCTCACCTGAATTACATTGGTGTCTCACCTCTTGGGGAATAATCAATGCAACTTATGAGTTTTTGTTAGAGATTATATGACAACCATCAGTTAAGTGCCATTTATTAACTGAATAGACCTAAGAAGAATGCAGCTTGGTCTTGTTCCTAATTGGCCAAATACAACTTGGTGTCATAAGTTCAGGGTACAATGAAGTATGGGCTAAGCTGTTTCTTGAAGCACCAACATAATCAGAACAAAAGGTTCTAATAGGAAAAAAACAATAATAGTGCACTAGCGGAGTTTGCTACTTAAAGGAAGATGGAGGCAAATTACTTTCTAAAGAAACATTTTGTTACATAGATCACAGTCCTCAAAGTTGTTTTGGTACAAACCCAAACATAAAATAGATTTGTTTAAATAACTGTAGCTTTATCTGTACTGGGCTGTCAGATATTCTATACAAACAAAGCATAATAGAATTATAGTGGGAGAATGGTGGGACTATAAAGAAAATTACAGACATGTTGCTTACCCTTTGGATATTACAGTTTTGTAGGAAGGCATAAGAACAGAAAAAAAAATCCATATTTCCACACCAAAACAAATTATAGTCAAGCACACACACACACACACACACACACACACAATCTATTATTTGGAAATTCTGGGTAGTCCTTCATAAGATCACAGAATTGGAAAGGGTCCTAGAAAAACCATAGTTGTCTAAATTATTCTATTAGTAGCAATTGCATATTTATTCTGCTTATTCTAGAAAGTTTAAAGGTACCTCAAATGGTTTGCTATTAATTTTTTTTTTGCTATTAAAAATTTATAAAGAAATGTCACTTGAGTCCTTGGTGATAAAAAACCAAGGTCCCACAACCCTTAAGGTCAGGATCTTCTTTTACTTGCCAGGGAAAGGGTAGTAAGACTGTTGGACCCTTAAAACATAAAGCTATCAAAGAGGTAGACCCCACTAATGATAGTGCTTTCCTTCAAGTCAAACACTCAAAGCAGGTATTCAATATGGATTTTTCAAGGTGGTCTAGCTGGATGTTTTCAGATAGAACACCTTGCTACCATTTATAGAAAACTAGGAAAACTTGTATTTTCAACAGCATAGACTTTTCACATTAAAAAGATTCTCATAATTTAAGTTAGAGGCTGGGCCTGCAGCTTCTAAAATAAATTTCCATTCACCTCAGTTAGCTTGTAGTCACAAGGTCCCTATTTTTTCCCACATGTATATGGGATGTTTAGTTTGTATCTTTCATTGAAGCTTCTTCTTCTTCTTTTTAAAAGGTTTATTTATTTTAGAGAGAGAGCACAAGGGGGCATGCACGGGCAAGGTCGGGAGGGAGGGGCAGAGGGAGACGGAGTGAGAGAAACCTAAGCAGACTCTGTGCTAACCACAGAGTGTTTGGATCTCATGACCTGAGCCAAAACCGAGTCACCGCTTAACTGACTGTGCCACCCAGGCACCCCTGAAACTTCTTAATACGTGATATATTTGCATGCCTAAAATACTTTTTAAAAGGCAAGATTCTGAATTTTAAACTTATTGGTTCCCCTAAATATTTTTTGAAACATATGTGTCCAGTTTTGAGGCCCAAATTTCTCTGTTATTATAACCAATATTATTTCATTACAGATTTCACTAATAACAAGACCAAACAGAGGCCCTCAGTGATTTAGTCTATGGCTTCCTCTTTATCTTCCCTCCAAAGCAGTCACACCAAACTCGGTTTCATTTACATGGCTCCTACCACCTGCACGGAACCCTGCCACCTGCCTTTGAGGGAATGTCTATTCTCAGCCAATCCCAGTGCAAGTATTGCTTATATTCTTTTTTTTAAAAATATTTTATTTATTTATTTCAGACAGTGCACAAATGGGAGAGGGGCAGAGGGAGAGGAAGAAGCAGACTCCCCACTGAGCAGGGGACATGGGGCTCGATCCCAGAACCCCAGGATTATGACCAGAGCCAAAGGCAAATGCTTAACCGACTGAGCCACCGAGGCACCCCAGTATGTTTATATTCTAAGAAGTCATTCTTGGTGCTTTTTCCTACTCCATCCTGACAGTCACATCTTATATTACTTTTTATACTTATATTACATTGCTCAAATTTCTATATTATACCGCAGATTCCCTGGAGCAAACAATTCCTTCATTATCTTTGCATTTCCAAAGCCCAGCATAGTACCAAGTATACAGTGGGTGCTCAGGAGATGGCCCAGCCAATATGGATAATTCTATAGCACCCATTCCTTCATTATTTTTTATTTTTATTTTTTTCCATTCCTTCTTTAAAAAACAATACATCCTTGGGGATCCCTGGGTGGCACAGTGGTTTGGCGCCTGCCTTTGGCCCAGGGCGCGATCCTGGAGACCCGGGATCGAATCCCACATTGGGCTCCCGGTGCATGGAGCCTGCTTCTCCCTCTGCCTGTGTCTCTGCCTCTCTCTCTCTCTCTCTCTCTCTCTCTGACTATCATAAATAAATAAAAATTAAAAAAAAAACAAAAAACCCCCAATACATCCTTAACCTGATTTAGCAGGTAAATAGTTATAAACAATTATATCATCATTAGTATTACTTTTATATTAAAAATGTACTTTTAAAAAAGATTTTATTTATTTATTCATGAGAGACACACAGAGAGAGGCAGAGAGAGAGGCAGAGGGGGAAGCAGGCTCCCTATGGGAAGCCTGATGCAGGACTCAATCCCAGGACCCTGGGATCACGACCTGAGCTGAAGGCAGACACTCAACCACTAAGCCACCCAGGCGTGTTTTGTTTTGTTTTGTTTTGTTTAAAGGAACAGTAAAAGAAAATTCCACATTGTCAGTGGTAACCTGAATCCCCAATACAAGCCACAAATACTAGCTTCCTGCTGCCCCATTTATGAACCTCACTTGTTCTTAAGCTTATGGCACTTGTGGTCATAATCAATTAGATTGTGAATTTTCTCAGCAGAGGTCAGTTCTTACAGATAAGCCCTTGGTATTCATGACAACTCTGAGACGCTTGTAAGAAATGCCATGACGATGTAACTTCACTTATAGAAGGTGGGTGAAGTAAAAGTTAACTGACCCTTTTGGATTCACATGGATATGAGACTTAGCAGAGATGCAGTAAGTGCAGCAGAGTCAAGCTGGGATGCAACCTGGAATGGTCCCATGCTCCCATGGACCTGGCTCAGAGTGCGAGTGTCGTATCTGTGTGTCAGCTGAAATACAGCTCTATCACTGGACTTTCAGGGCTTAAACTATGATCAGTAAATCTATGGATGCTAATGAAGGTAAATCCATGTATGCTAATGAATTCACATCTTTGCTTTTCCTAGACTCTCAAACTTTTTGTTTCAGGACTCCTTTACACTCTTAAAAAATATCTAGTTCATGATATAATTCAGAGCATGAATCAATAGGAATTGGTGATTAGGGGATCCCTGGGTGGCTCAGCGGTTTGGCGCCTGCCTTTGGCCCAGGGCGCGATCCTGGAGTCCCGGGATCGAGTCCCATGTCAGGCTCCCGGCATGGAGCCTGCTTCTCCCTCCTCCTGTGTCTCTGCCTCTCTCTCTCGCTCTCTCTATCATAAATAAATAAATAAATATTTTTTAAAAAAAGGAATTGGTGATTATTTGGATATAAGGTATAAGAGCAAGTTTCTGATTGATGTCAGGACAATATTCTGGATTAAATTTGAACAACTGTATGGATATGTTGTCATTTACTGAGAGAGGGAGAGTAGGGAGGCAGGAGGAGGTTTGAACATGTTGCTTTTTTGAGATGCCACTGAGGCTTCCCTGTGGATATGTCCAAGTGTGGAATGCAAAAATGAGGTCAAGGTGGAAAGACTGTGCTAAGTGCCCTCATGTGTTGACATTAATACGGTGCTTTCTATTTTTCCACTAGCTTTTACCAAATGGAGTATTTTTTTTTAATACTCACAACCACTATGTGAAACAGAGAAAGTGAGCATGACCAGTTTTACAGTACAATGAAATACTCTCGGCAATAAAAAGGAATGTTACACTCAGCAATATGAATGAATCTTGTATGCATTGTGAGGAGTGAAAGAAGCTAGAGTCAAAAAGGTTATTATATCATTCCATTCCAATGACTTCTTGGAAAGGGCAAAACTACAGAGATGAGCATACCGGTGGGTGCCAAGGGTTCAGGTTTGGGGAGGATTTGACTACAAAGGGACAGTATGAGGAAATTTTTTTGAAGGTTATGATAAGTTGTTCTGTATCCTGATTGTGATGTTAGCTACAAAGGTCTATGGGTCTGTCAAGACTCACAGAATCATACAGGTAGAAGGTGGATTTAAGTATGTGCATATTTTTGAGTATCTATTCAAAGAATTTTAAGTGAGGAGTGTATTTTAGAATCATCATTCTGGCTCCAGTGTGAAGAATAGATCATATGCATCAAACACCAGAAGCATAAGACCTGCTTGGGGGAATGCTGTATTAACCCAGTCAGATAGGACTACCAATTGAACTAGGATGGCAAACATGGTAGTTACTTAAGGATAGTTGCAATGTGGAATCTGAAACTGTGTCAATGAATCTTTCCTATCCTGCTACATTAAAATCCACCTTTTAAAAAAAGATTTATTTATTTATTCATGAGAGACACAGACTGAGAGAGAGAGGCAGAGACACAGGCAGAGGGAGAAGCGGGCTCCTCGCAGGGAGCCTGATACAGGACTCGATCCTGGATCCCAGGATCACAACCTGAGCCGAAGGGAGGTGCCCAACCACTAAGCCACACAGGCATCCCCAAATCCACCTTTCTATCTGGTACTTTGAATGGATCACCTCCCCACCCATTATTTTAATTACATCAAGTATTAGTCATTTGGAAAATATTGGTTCATTGAGTTGTGCAAATTTTCTAAATGTTCACACATTTTATTATACAATACAAAAATCCACTTTAGCTAATATCATCATGGATCTCACATGGAAAGTCATCAAAGACTGGGAAAGCTATCAAGCTCACTTCTGCATATCCAAGTTTTCCAAAATTTTAATTTTCCTTTGAAAGCTCAAATTTCATTGGTAACAACCACTGTCATCGTTTTTCTTAAACTAATAAGCACACTTCATTCTTTTTCAAGAAATGTTTGCCCAGTATTTGCCAACTTCACTATGAATAACCATCTATTAGTTTATCAGTTGTTCTTTCAAGTAAATATGGTGTTTCATGCAAAAAGCAGCTGGTTCAGCTGGCAACTCAGCCATTTGGGTGCTTTATTAAGACAATCATCCATAGCTCAGTATGCATCAGAAGTCCATTATGTATACTTGACATGTGTTCACAAATATTCAAAAGCTATGTCATCAAGGTTGAGATTTAATAAAATTAATAAAATGTGCAGCTTCCTCAAGACCACTCTAATGTAAAGCTGGCTTTCTCCCCTTTACTGTAAGTGCATGGTGGTGGCAAGCACAGTGACTGTCAGTGTTGTTTAGAATGACCGCCTTGATTGTGTTCAGGTGACAGCAGTGTTCCCACCATAGCTTTTGAACCATGGATACAAATCTCAGCATGGTGAAAAAAGGAAATAACCTTTTTTTTTTTTAAAAAAAAAAGATTTTATTTATTTATTCATGAGAGACACAGAGTGAGAGGCAGAGACATAGGCAGAGGGAGAAGCAGGCTCCATGCAGGGAGCCTGATATGGGACTTGATCCCGGAACCCCGGGATCATGCCCTGAGCCAAAGGCAGACACTCAACTGCTGAGCCACCCAGGTGTCCCAAGGAGATAACCTTTTAGTACTTGTGTGAAGACAATCTTGATCTTGTGAACTCCCTGAAAGGGTCTCAGGGACTTTCACACTCTGAGAACTTCTGCCCTGGAGTACCCAGCACAGTGCCTTCTGCACAGCACTTATTTCAATATCAGTTGCTGAATAAATGTTTCACTGAAACTTGAATTTAGAAAGTTTTATTTGACTCAACAACCGACCGGGCTTTTTTGCACCAAGTTAATGGAACAGATATCTAAATTAAAATGATTCTGAGGGGCACCTGGGTAGTTAAGTGGTTGAATGTTTGCCTTTGGCTCAGGTCATGATCCTGGGGTCCTGGGATCAAGTCCCGCATCATGCTTCCCAGAGGGAATCTGCTTCTCCCTTTGCCTATGTCTCTGCCTCTCGCTCTGTGTCTCTCGTAAATAAATAAATAAAATGATTCTGAAAACAGCACCTCAAAGCCCAGTATTTAACTGCTCACAGCTGCTCCAAACTTAACTTTAATGACAAAATTGGCTTCCTTTTCAGCCGATCACTGAATGGACAAGGCCTGCTGTCTCAAAATTCTGGGAGTGAATCTGCAAAGCCACGGGGTAAGACCTGATGACTACTTCTGATGACTCCAGAAACTACTTGGCCAGGGCTATGACTCTGTGGTTAGACTGATTTAGAATTAGTTATATTTAGAACAGCAAGATAATCCTGTTTTTCTTCTTGTTGTGTGCCATGTGGAATTTATCTAGGTGCTGAGTTCCCATATATATGTCAAGGAGGTGAGCAGTTCAGAGGTCAACGACTACCATGCTGCTTGCCTACATCAAAACCTCTAAGCTGGATTCTTCCTCCCTGAGATACGTAACAAAATCACCTTCTGAAAGCTCTAGGGGACAAACCCTCTTCCTCTGTTTCCTTCCTGGAGTCACTGAAGAACTTACATTAATGAGGATCCTGTAAGTAGTAGCAACTAAAATCACGGGAGAATGTTTAGCCATAGTTCATTGTTGATCTTGATCATAACTCTTCTCATGTCTAGCCACAGCCCCAAAGATAGCTTAAGTAGCTAGAGTGTATGATTTTGTCAAACATTAAACTGGACACTGAGAAGGACTGGGGAGATAGTTTTCCTTTCCTTCCTTACACTTCCATATAAGCTTCACGGAAGCATCTGTCCTTGGACAGAATTCCCAGATATTTTACTGCTTTTATCTGTTTTCCTCAAATAAAGAAATAAGGAGTGTATATACAGCATGGGCATGTGGAATTAGGTCAAAAGGAAGTCTGACTGCAAATGAGAGAGGTGTTGTTGGTATAAAGAGAAGAAAAGTCAAAGTATTTTTGACCGTGCTGTGTAATGATATCTTACCATTTTCCACTGGGACTCATTAACTTCTTTGTATTGTAGTTCATACTGGAGGACTATCCATCCCTTCTGAACATCCGCATTGGGTGGTGGTTCCCATCTCACTTGGATATCTGCATGGATTCCCGTTAAACTGATGTTCAGTAAAGTCCAGTTGAGGCCGATGGGTGGGTCTGGTTGCACTGTGCATTTCAACAGAGAGTTAGTGCACAGAGAGACAGACAGGTACAGCTTGATTTAACGGAGAGCTTTCTTCAGAAGAGACCAATTACTTTATGCATTTTTCTTATCCACACTCTTAATTCTTCCAATATTCTTATTATGCTCTCATTGTAGTAGAGAATACAATTTTTTTTTTTTGGCTGGAGTATGATCTGTTTATGACCTTGAAGACCAAAAGCTCCTATAAAATTCCTTTTCAAGTTTAAAAATCTGATCTAAAATTCTTCTTGGGGCCCATGTCTTAAATATCTTTTAGCCCTGATAGGATTAATGCTTTGGGATTTTGGCACAGGAATTCATTGTAACTCGAAACTGAAGGAACAGAACCAGAAAGACCTAGAGTATTTGAACACGTGGCTATTTTGGAACTAGGGATAGATAAATCCTTTTTATTCCAAATTGTTTATTACCTAGGACAAAAATCTTGTCTTATTAATTTCTGTATTGCTACTAGAATAATCCCACCAAACACTCTGCTGATGCTCCTTAGCATGATGTCTTCCTAGCCACATGTGGTGATTTTTTTTTCAGACATAAGAAGGAAGGCACTGTACTCTTCTCTCAAATGGTGATGAGTCAGGGTTTTCTGTCTCTTACTTAACTGTTATGTGAAGAATCTGAAATAGTGTTTTGCTTGGTTTCTATTGACAAACTGTACATTCTCTGGTAAATCAGCTGCATTCTGCTTATTAGGACTGCAAAGACCACAATTTACCAAAGATTGATGAAGAGAAATATGTATTCCAAAGCTAGGAACTATACCTAAATTTACATTCTGGATAGTTCCTGATATATTATTGCCCTTTAGGTCTTAGTACTGAGGTTTTCAAAAATCACTTGCAGATACAAAGTAAAATTTACTTACTTTTTTTTTTTAAGATTTTATTTATTTATTCATGAGACACACACACACACACACACACAGAGAGAGAGAGAGAGAGAGAGAGAGAGGCAGAGACATAGGCAGAGGGAAAAGCAGGCTCCATGCAGGAAGGCCCATGTGGGACTCTATCCCGGGACTCCAGGATCACGCCCTAAGCCAAAGACAGATGCTCAACTGCCGAGCCAGCAGGTGTCCCAAAATTTACTTTCTTTTCTACTGTTTGTAGGTCACCCAGAGGGTTGCAAAGTCTGGACCCCTAGGGTTGACCAGACAAAAGCCTATAAATATAAGTGTGAGGAGCCATAACTGGCTGTTAAAATCTGGTGGCCAAAGGAGGAAGCGCTTGCATTCAATCAGACTTCAGACAGACCTTAGTGTGAAGGAGCATGATATTGGCCCCTGCAGAGGGGCCAACTTTAAAAAAAATAGACAATCCAAATATGACTAATAATGACCAAATTTTAGATTTAAATTAGAGGGATTTGCAAAAATAGTTGGGCTGCATATGGCTACAGTAATGACAGTAATGCTTCACCCTTCTGGATTTGTTGGGGACTGAGGAATTCTGATAACTGAAGCTTAACTCTTTAAAAGACCAAAATATATACATGTTTTTGATGGGAAAATTTCAACTTATTACTCATGTTTCACCTTAAAAACTCCCCTTTCTACTTTATTTTATTTTTATTTTTATTTACTTAGGATAGTCACAGAGAGAGAGAGAGGCAGAGACACAGGCAGAGGGAGAAGCAGGCTCCATGCACCGGGAGCCCGATGTGGGACTGGATCCCGGGCCTCCAGGATTGCGCCCCGGGCCAAAGGCAGGCGCCAAACCGCTGCGCCACCCAGGGACCCCCCTTTCTATTTTAAATAGAAAATAGGGAACATGGTCCTTTTTGAGATGGCTTGTACCACTGTTAGAAGCATAGTAACCTCCCCCTTACCTCTGTGCATATTGTTACATGCTGTATGCAACAGCTCCTCTGAGATGCTGGAAAAGCACCTGAGACCAACTACATCCCCAGGCAGCCCCTGGTCCCTCCCCAGAATGTGCTCCTCTGTCACTTTCCCTCTCTCTGTTAATGGCACCTCCATTCCTCCAGTTGCTCAGGATGAAATTAGTGAGCTCTTCCTTGACTCATCTTTTTCTCACCACCTCCACATTCTGTCAGCTGTACGTTGTTTTTTAAAGATTTATTTATTTATTTATTTATTTATTTATTTATTTATTTATTGAGAGAGAGAGAGAGAGAGAGAGAGGGAGAGAGAACAAGCAAGGAAGGGAGGGGCAGAGGAAGAAAGAGAAGCAGACTCTTTGCCAAGATGGAAGCCCAATGCAAGGCTTGATCCGAGGACCCTGGGACCATGACCTGAGCCAAAGGCAGCCACTTAACAGACCGAGCCACCCAGGGACCTCTCAGCTGTACTTTGGAGATGGTCGCAGAGTCCAACTGCTCTTCACCATCTGCACCTCCACAACCCAGTACCACCATTATGCTTTTTTGCGTATTGCTGCGTTAGCCTCCTAAGTGGTCCTCCTGTGGTCTTTGTCCTGCTTTAGTCTGTTCTCAATATAATCCGTATAATATTTGTCACAGTAGTTATTTTCACACTTGTGTTAGAGCACATCGCTCATTTAAAACCCTCCAAAGGGGGATCCCTGGGTGGCGCAGCGGTTTAGTGCCTGCCTTTGGCCCGGGGCACGATCCTGGAGACCCAGGATCGAATCCCACGTCGGGCTCCCTGCATGGAGCCTGCTTCTCCCTCTGCCTGTGTCTCTGCCTCTCTCTCTCTCTGTGACTATCATGAATGAATAAATAAAATCTTTAAAAAAAAGATTTAAAAAAAAAAATAAAACCCTCCAAAGGCTTCCAATGTCACTCCAGGTAAAAGCCAGAATCATCCAATGGCTTCACTGGTGCTGTAGTTTGGCTCACGGATCTCTCAGATGTGGCCTGTCACATGCCCCTCCTTGCTCACTCTGTGCTAGCTCCTCTCTCCACCATGCTGTTCCTCAAGCGAGCAAGGGCATGCTCCCACTGTGGGAGCTTTGCCCTTGCTGTGCCCTCTTGCTGGAATGTTGTTCTCTCATGTTTTTCTTTACTCAGCAAAGACAGCTCTGATAACTCTAATAAAATAGCAACCTCTCCTGCACTCCTCTTCTCCCTCCCTATGTTATTTTTCTTCATTGCATTGTCTTTCTCCAGCTTCGCTGGGATAAAATCCCACAAGGGCAGACGTTTTCTGCTCCTGGCACCTAGAAATGTACTTGGCTCAAGGAAGGGACTCAGTAAATATTTGCTGAATGAATGAATGAACAACAAGTGTCTAACAATACAGGACTTTAAATCCAAAGATGAGCCCTGTGAGATAGTAGGAGAGTACTCATATAACACGTGACGAAGCTGAGGTTTATGGTTGTCTTAAGATCTATTAGGCTCACCTTGTTCCTTGCTGTCTCCCCCTCCCAGCAAACTCCCTCCCTGCTATGGTTGTATCTGCCTATCACCATCTTTTGCCTTAATTATCTTTTGCCTTAATTATCATAAAGACGATCACAAAGTGTTCTAACCTCTCTCTCTCTACTCTGTGTGACTCCAATCTACCCTCTACACAGTGGCAGGATGGATTTCCCCGAGACATTTAGTAACACAACAGGTGGCACTGGATAAGTTTGAGATTAAGAGTGCAGACTCTGGAGCTGTGCTGCCTAGGTTCCAATCTCTGCTCCACCTACTAGCTGACAGACCTTGAATTAGCCTTTAAATGCCCTCAGCCTCAATGTTGTCATCTGTGACATGGAGATTATAATAGGACCTCTCTCACAGAGTTATTATACCCGACCCATAGGTGAGGGCTTTGTAAGTGTTAGTCAGCTAATATTATCCCCAGGGCATTTCCCTCCTTAAACATCTCAAATGCACCTCTTGGCAGTCATTTAAAGTCTAACTTCCTTTGTGGGGTTCACAAGGCCACTTGGGACTTCTCTGTCTGATCAGTCAGGCCGGCCTAACTGCTCCCAGTCCTTCAACATTCTGTGCCATTTATCACTTCTGGAACTTAGTCACTGTTGGAAGACTCAGTCCATCTTGTATATCTGGCAACTAACTCCCACTGATGCCCCAAGGAGTAACTGAACTGCCACAATTTCTGGGCATTCCTTGCCCCTCCCTCATGCCCAGCTAATCGTTGTACCTTCGGCCACTGCCTTGGCTTACTATGCCCTCCACACACCTCGAGTCCAGCACCTAAACCATTTGACTTCAGTTATTTATTTGACACACCTGACTCCCCTCCTTGACCATAGCTTACTGATTCTGTAGCCACCACACCGAGTACAGGGTTCAAGGCATGGCAGGCCCTCAGTGAAAGTCAACCATGGAAATGAGTGGGGCTAGGTATTGGCAGGGACGGGGTTAGAACCATGGGTCTGGACCTAATATTCTTACTACTACCTGGTTAGCTACCCAAGGGCTATGTCTATTGATATTGCGGCTTATGATAAATAGTCTCTCCAAGTTATGTAGTTGGGTTCTCATTTCTGCTTGTTCTTCTCCCTGACAGGGTATCAGATTTACTCGTTTCTGCCTGCAGCTTCTAGCCACATTCTCTTAGCCTCTTCTAGTCCACTGATGCCTGGGAAACCACACACAGGCGTCTAAGGACAGAACGTCTCAGAGAAACTCCAAGCAATTTCTATAACAGATGAGCCTTTATGGATAGATTCTGAGGCACCATATCAGCTACTCATAGTCCTTTGATTCCTTAGATTTTGCTGTTTACTATATTATAGTATAAACATAAATATTCCAGTTACAGTTGTTTGTTTTGTTTTATTTCCCCTTGTGTTCTTCTGATGGGCAAGTGATAATCTGTCTAGATCTTTCATTTGGTTCATTGAGCTCTGATTATATCCAATGTTTGTCTTGAGATCTTATAAACATGTCTTTAAACTGATTTGGGGCTGTTTTGTAAATATAAAGTTCCAGAAATATTATGCTTTGTGATAAAACCTAGGCTCTTATTATAGTGATGATAGGGATCAAAGGTCAACATATTTCAAATCTGAATATAGTAATCATATTGAATAATTAGGGAAGAAAGAATCTTAGGAGTATGGTGAGTTTGTCTCTTGTGGTGGCACCCAAGAACACAATCCATCTTGAAAGACCTCCTCAAGTAAAAGACTGCACAGTTCCCATTCTTTTCCTGACAACGTTTACTGTCAGGTTGTTTTGTGTTAGAGCCAACTTATGTTCCCCTGCCTTCTCCCTCTTGTTCACTGGCTGACCTCATGCCCTGTAAAGTAGACCTCCGTTCACCTAACTTACAATGACAAAGTCTTCCTACTTGAATCCACGTGGACATTGAGGCTTCCCTGCTTATTTAATCTAAAGCCGTGTCAAGTAAAACACAAACCTGTGATTTACCTATTTCCTCAACAGAGAAACACTTTTGATCCACCGTACCACCATTGCTGGTTAGCTTGATACAGTAGGGTATCCAAATGGAGGTATAAGATGAATTAAAGTAACAGCTGTTTTCTCCGGCAGAGACATAATCGGGGCATTCTTTCCACTCTTGAGTCCATTCTTGCGTGCTCCTGAAATGAAGGGTAAAAAAAGATGAATTGTTCCAAAAATTATGCCATGGTTTAAGTCAATGTGAGGTGCCTGAGAGTCAGATTCAATAAGTTGGAACACAAATATTTTACAACCAAGTCTTTCAGCAGCATTGTTTCCAAGAAGTATCACATCTGTGGACTCACCCACAGGGTCTGCAGACGGACAGGGCTATTGGTACTTTTACTATAGTAAAAGCACCCATTCATCAACTGCTTATGATGCACCAGCTCCTAAATTAAGTAATTTGTGGGTAGGCACTTCATTATCCACATTTTACAGATGAGGGCTCTGAGGCTTAGGGAGGTTTAAAATGTTCCTTTACTAAAACACTGCAGAGGGTCAGCGCCCAAACTATAAAGAGTTCCAAAGTCCCATTCTTTGGACCTGGATATTTTCCCAACTCATGGTGTAGGACACTGAGGAGGCACACTGGTGTGTTCTTCAGGCTGAGTGACACTGAGGTTTGAATGGCCTTACGGTAAAGAACTGGCTACCACCCTACTCTGAACCGCTGAACCCTGTGTCCATATCCCCAGGCTGTCTTATGCTTGGGGGAGTTTTCCTGATGCCTTGAACTCCTTCCCATATTTTTGGTTTCTTCCCTAATTATATGAAGAGCCATGAGAACACTGTAAACACACTGGACTTCTAGGTGATATTTATGAAGCATAGGAATCCTAGCCTTTTTCTCCTCACCCTTAAAAGAGACAAAAGGTCATGAGCCCAGAAATTAAAAATTTTTTTCCAAACTCAGAAAGTAATTTTTTCTATTTTATAAGTAGAATGGACATTTACTTATAATATAAAAAAACGGAAATGAAAATGAGCTAAATTGAATCAGTGTGTTTGCCTATCTGTTCCTTTTGTCTTTGCTCTACAGAAAACAAGCTCATGTTTTCCCAGATCTTGGCTCAGATTAAAAACAAACAAACAAAACAAATCATGGAGGAAAGATGGATGCGTGGAGAATACTGAAGAAATCAGAGAAGCCACATCTCCATATTTACATTCTGCCATACAGTTTTTCATCTCTATCCCACTCTACAGAAAGCATCATTTACCCAGATGACTTAAAACACCATCAGGATTAGCTGAATGGGAAAGAGATACCAGGAAGTTTACTGTGGAAGGAAGCAGAGTTTTGGGAAAGGAAAATCTCTGGTTAGCTGCCAATAAGAACCTGAACAAAAATGCAGAGCAATCAAGGATTGTCCACCCCTGCAAGAACGCAGAAACATGTGTTAGAATGTGACCCAGCTCTCCAAAGTCCCATCTCTCTGACTGACTGACTGAATGAGTCCAGCACGTATCTTTGGGTGCCGGCTATACAAGTACTATAGAAGCATTACATCTGGGGCAGCCAGGTGGCTCAGTTAGTTAGGCATCTGCCTTTGGCTCAGGTCGTGATCTCAGGGTCCTGGGATCGAGTCCCACAGCAGGCTCCCGTTCAGCTGGGAGCCTACTTCTCCTTCTGCCTATGTCTCTGCCCCTCTGTCTCTCTGGCTCTCATGAATAAATAAATAAAATCTTTTAAAATGAAGCATTATATCTGGGACTACCGCTGTGTGGATAAAATGATTAGATTTTGTTTGTAACTTCAGGCTAGAAGGAGACTCAAAAATTATCATCTGAGTACATTTTTTATCTCCTGTATTCATTCCATTCATATTTAATAAGCACTGATTATATATGTAAAACACTGTGCTGGACATTATGCAGGATGCATGTGTGTCTAAGGAATTGGTCCTGCCTCGGAGGAAGGACTAAAACACAGTATTGCAAAGCAGTGTGGGTTTGTGCTCACAAATAGTGCCAAAAGTTCAGAAGAGGGAATGTTCTAGCTGTTCATGGAAGGCTTCAATGTAGTGGTGGTGTTTCTAACAATCTTTGCAGATGGGTTAAAGTTTAATACATGGCAATAGGGGAAGGAAGGAGGGAACAGAGTAGTCAAAGGCACTGAGGTCTGGAAGTGCGGGCATGAGTCTGGTAAGGGGAACACAAGGCAATGGAATAAATGGGAAAACAAGTTAGAATTGCTACTTGGGCAGAACACTTAATTATCTGCTTACTATTCATGAGGTGCCAGCTGAGAAGGTTTATGAGTCAAGAAGACATAAAGCCAGGTGGTCTGTGGCTGAGGGAGAAGAAGGTAGAAGTGACCCTGTAAAGGCTGAGGTGCTTGGGGCTGGTAGGCAGACAGTGCAGGTCTGTGAGCATCCCTCTAGGGGACGGGTGCTGGGTAGCGATGAATGACAAGGGCACCACAGGCTGTAGGCAAGGCAGGGACTGGAAGGAGGGGTGAGGAGATGCCGACCACACATGTTTCCTTCTCTACAGCTGTTTCTCAGGCTGGTCTGTTTGGCACTGGGAGGAAACTTAATGTGGCGTGAGGGGGGTCCTTGAGACAGTTGCCCATCAGCTGTTGGAAAGAACTTGGGATTAACATGGCTGGTGAACTGTAGCTTAAATTCTGGTTGAGATTCTTAAAAGTTGCATAACCTTGGATGAGAGGGAGATTCATCCCTGATGGGAAATGCGAGTGGTATGTGTGTGTGTGTGTGTGCGCGCGCGCGCGCGCGTGTGTATGTATGCATGTGTGCGTATAGTGTGTGTATCTATGCACATGTGTGTGAGTGTGTATGTATGTTTAGAGTAGTAGGAAAAGGATGAAAAAATTAGGGATAGGTGGGTCATTGACCTACGGAATAGTTTATTTTATCTTGACTGTCAAACTAAGGAAGAGTATAATTAAAGAGAATGGTTTAGCAAGATTGCCCAGAGGAATGAGGCTCCTAAATAATAATATAGACAAAAAATGTATTTAGTATAGTTCATAGTCTAAAAGTATTAAAATATAAAGATGTAGTACAGTGCTTAGCGGGTCTGGATTTGTAACAGGGAGATTAGCTCTGCATGTTTCATGGTTTCTCGACTTTGACATGCCTCCTTGGGGACTGTATGAAAAACTTTGTTTAGATTATTCCAAATCCATTAGTTCCACAGAGCAAACAACTTAAAGCACTTATCTTAAGCACAGGAACAGTTAGTTCAAAACACACTCCCAACACCCTCCCCCTTATTAACCAAAGTTGAATTTTATTTTCAATAAATATTTAAAACTTATCTTTAAACTCTTGAATTTAGACAAAAAGACAAACGGGCTCACAAAATAGGGACTCTTGCCTACTTTCCCTAGGTTGAATTTCTATGCAGGCGACCAAAGCCAATTTATGGACACTATTTTCTCCTATCATACCCCTGAGAGTTAAGTGTACTAGGTTTGCTCCTAGTCCATCTTGTGGAATAGAAGGAAAGCTGTACTGTCCACAGAGAGAAAGACTATCAGTAAAAATCAGAATAAAGAGCAGAAGAAATGCTTTCTAACCAAACACTTTTCCACCTAGCAACTGGAAGAAAAGTCCTAAAAAAACAACATCATTTACGGTCGAAAAACAACTGTTTTCATTACGTACAGGTCATGTATTTTAGGCTTAAAATTCAATCTTTTCTCTAGAAAGAAGAAATAGTAACTGTGCCCTTTACTCCCTTCTACTCTCCCCCCAGAACCTTGCATGGAAAATGAACTTTCTGTTAAAAAAGGCCAGGATAATTTGTTGAGGGGAGTTGGGTGTGGGGGATGGGAGAAATGGGGGATACAGCCTCAGGGACTGAGCCTTCTTTCTTCAAAAATAAGGCACCTGCGGGTGAGGAGGTGAGAGCAGAGCATCTCCCCAGAGCCTCCTGTTGGGTGCCTGCGATTCACATTCAGGCTGAGTCCTCTCCTAGCGATGAGACCATACTGGCAGCACCTGCGTCATGGGATGGCAGAGACTGCTCTGCCCCTGCTGCCCCCTCTGCCAGCTGCCTCTGGGCCTGTCCTGTTGACAGCCTGACAGCTTTGGGTTCTTCGTGCGTTAGTTACCAAGGCCAGGCTGGTAAACTGAAAGCCCCGAGCATGGCCCCTCCTGGAGCCTTCCCGTCTCCCCTGCTCCAGTTCTGGACGAAATGCTGCCACAGCTTTGTGTGGCAGGGAGGAGGGGGCCGTGATTCTAGAGTTCTAGGACTTGTGTGGGAGCTGAATTCTAAGACGCAACGACAGGAGTCAGAAAGTGCATTTGTGCACGAGGCCAGTGCGAAGGCTAACATATCTGTGTACTTACTGGTATGGTCTGGGCCTGACACTCCCAGCCCCCTGGATTCTAGTCTTCCTCAATCAACAGGGCTGGAGGCTTACGCTATTTTGGCTAGATATTCAAAATAATTATATATATTTTAGAGAAAACATAAAATACTGATTTTTTCAAGTTTGGGTTGGCTCTCATCATGAGGTTGTGCTTGGGGGGTTTGAAGACTTGACAGTGTTTCCCCCTGAGATCCCAAACCCCACTAGGGCAACAACTGACAACATCCTTCCAAATATGTTGAGATTTGCCCTCCACCTGGTCACACTCTCTGTGGGCTCTCCATTAGCACAGAACCTGGGTTTGGACTAGGGCCGCTGAGAGGCCTCAGAGGTGCAGAGGAGGCCTGGGGGCAAAGGCATGTGACCCTGATGGAAGAGAGTAAGGAACAAATATAGATTTGTGAGGGCTTCAGACCCTTGAGCTCCCCATTTTGCTCAAGTTCAGATTTGGTGAATATTAGGGTGGTAATAACTCATTTTCATAACATGAGCCTGACTCTGTCACCTAACTATTTGGTTCAGTTCATTGTGTCTACACAAATAACCTATTTTGTTCTCACTGAGCTGGCTCTCTGTACCTTCGAAATCTCTCTCCATTTAACAGTCAATTTGACAGATATTCAAAGGTGTTACTAGACATATAAGCTTCCTGTCCAAATGTATTTACACAAATCAGCTGAGCCTCTTCACCCCTCCCTCTCTGTTGTGTCAGCTTGAAGAGAGGGAGAAAAAAAAACTGCATTTGGTGCCCAAGCATGTCATATTTGTGTGCCCTCTGGGGAACATCTGAGAAACCTCTCTCACACCTGGGAAGTAGGTAAGGCCAGTATGGTTGCTAACTCAAAGTATTTATTTGTAAGTAGAGTATCCAGTTTTACGCTAACAAAGGCCTTAGAAGCAGACCAATAATCACCAGCCAGAAAGAATCAAAAGTAATTTTTATAGCCCTGGAACTGGATTTCTGTATCATTATTGTTTGAAATTATCACCAGATTACCAACAATAATATAATAATAGCAGCCACCATTTGTCGAGTACATGTGCCAAGCACTGTGCTGTCTTTCATGTATCATCTAACAAAATCCTCACCAAGAAGCCATGAGACAACGTCTATTACCTCTGTTTACCAAACAAGGTGGCTGAGTTGTGAACAGACTACTTTGCCTGGTGTCACTCAGCAAGGGCCAGAACCCGGCTGAGATATGGTTCTGTTGGCCCTGAGCCCATGTCTTTAGCTGCTCACTCATCTTCCCTTCTTTTCCCGCTCCTCTCTGGGGTGGATGGCATCAGCCTTGGACTGATGAACGCTCTCACTCTGGGAGAGAGGGTCCTGGCTAACCTTGCACCTTGGCTTAGGCTTTCCCTGGGGGTTGGGTGGAAAAGAGGAAATGATGAAGTGTTTGAACCCAAAACTTAGAAAAGGCCAAAAGGCACAACATAAGAGTGAACAGAAATGGAAATAATTCCAGGGGAGGGGTCAGAAATAAACTACTTGGATGGTGATTACATTAAGAGATTTTGTTTCACTCTTCCTCTGTTATTTTACAAGATGACCGGTCAAAATGGAATAGAGAAATATTACAGTTCCTTACTGAGTATAACTAATTTAATAGGAACATAGTCTATTGTCTACATAGACACCAAGCTCAGTCTTTTAAAATATACACGTCTTCTAAAAGCCCACCGCAGATAAAATCCAATTTAAAGCCCAGCCATGGCCAGCAAAGCTTGGCACTGTCTGGCTCTGGCTGACTTTCTCACCTCTTCTCACATCATATCCGTACATTTTACCTTGTGCCATCCATGAGGGCCTCCTGTTTTCCTCAAACAGATCAGCCTCAGGGGCCTTTACACTTGCAACTTCCTCTCTTGAACAGTTTCCCTCTAGATATTCACGTGGCCCTCTCTCACTTCACTTCTGTCTCTGCTATAAACACCATGTCAGCAAGGCCCACTGTGAACATCTCATCTAAAGTATCACCCAAGCTCCCTATGTACACACACACACACACACACACACACGCACACACACACTCATTACACTTATCCACACTTTCACACAGTCTCTCACATACATTTCCACATTCGCATACTTGTGCATCCACATACCCACTTTTACACATTCTCATATGCACGCACACACGTGTACACACTTCACACACTCATGCATATTCACACTAGCACCTACACTTTCACACCTTCCCACGTATGCTCACCATATTTACACACTCACCATCAGGCACTATCATGCACACCCATGTACTCATTCACAGTGTGGACACTTTTTATCCTCTTTCTGGTTTTTGCATTTCTTAATAACCCATGTTACCCACTGCCTTTATTTATTTATTTTTTATTTTTTATGGTCTGTCTCCCTCTGTTGGAAAGACAGACCCATGAGGCTAGGGTCTTCCTCTTTTTTGTAATCAGTGCTCTACCTCCAGTGCCTTAAATAGTACCAAACACATAGTAAGGACTTAAATATTTTTTGAATAAATGCATACATTTAAGTCATCAAAATAAACCATTCCCATGTCCATCACTGCATGCAGCTCAGTATGCTTTCATCAGAAAATCCATGGAGGGAAAAGTCAGAAAGGCATGAAGGCTGCACCTTCTAATATAGAACAGCTGTACGGATCCTGGGTTCTTTAGACCATGACGAACCCCATCTGTCCAGTGGCATGAAAAAGTCTCTAGTTCAGGTGAACGGCACTTGGTGAACTTAGGCTTCTCAGAAGAATCTGCAGAACAAACAGGAAAGACAAAGCATGAAATCAAGAGGGTAATGTATGGTCCTAATAAAACACATATTTACAGTGGTAAAGAAGAACCGTTTCTTTTAGAAACACTGTTTTCCCAGGTCACAGTTTCAAAGCTCATCGTATGTTAGTTATTTCTCTGTCAGTTCTTGAATTCAGGGGAAAACTGTTTTGTCTTTATTTCAGACATTATTTTTAGGGCCTGTTTAAGAAACCAGAACTGGATGTAAGGTTTATTTGGAAGGTTGACCCCAGAAACTGGAAGTGAGGGTAAGGGAGAGTGGGGGGAGGGAGGACAGCTAAGTGTGCTGTTTTGCAGGTTACTATGTGGCCGACTAGGGCCCAACACCACACAGGCCCCTCTGAGAAGCTGTAGAGGGTAGAGTGTGTCCTAGAGAAGGAGTGGAGGCTGGGGTGTTTATCCGCCAACTCCCACCATCCACTGCTTGACCGCTGCCCTGAAGGTGTTCATGCCCATGAACCTCTAAGGCACACCTGTACATGGGCTGAAGATCCTGCCTGACTTGAGAGGAGCCTGGATAGGCACCCCCTGAAGTGCACCCCGCAATGTGCATGTTGGCAACCATACGCCACGGATGCGTCCACTGACATCAGGTGGGACAAAGGGATGTGGTATGGCACCTCAGCATCCACGACGGAGCCTTTCTTCATTTTATAGATTTTTTTTTTAACAAAAAGCCACTTATGCTTGCATTCTTTAAAAAAATTATTTAAATTCAATTAGCCAACATATGGCATATCACTAGTTTCAGAAGTAGTGTTCAATAATTTATCAGGTGTGCATTCTTTTCAAAGATTCAGCCAGTACATCCATTAGGCAGATGATGATTAAAAAACTTGTGCATACTTATGTGTCAATTCTAATTCGGGAAGTGGTGATTGCCTCCTACATTCTAGGATATTAGCCAAAATGCCTCTCATCTATGAAATCTATAGCAGGTAAGTCTGAGGCAAAACCAATTTTTGTATACCGATTCTCATTGTTCTCGGACTTCCATGCAATTTTGGAGATGGTCAGGTTTCTTTTTTCTTTTTTCCCCTCCTTATATGATTAGTCTTCAATTAGATGTAAACTTAATATATTTGTTCTCGTATCTAAAGCTCTCATCTCTGGGCAATAGGGAGACTCTTAATTTTAAAGTATCTTTATAAATACTTTGAAACATAATTTAAAAATAAATAGCATGCAACCAAACCCATAAAAATTCCTGATTCCAAGTTCCAGGTTTGTATTTGGTGTTCTGAACCAAAACATGCTTCTCTTTCCCTTTGTCAGCAAAATCATAATGAATGGGATATTATAAACCTTCTCAATAAATCCCTCATTCAGCCATCCACTCAGCAAACACTTACTAAACATCTACTTTATGCCAGGCCCTCTTCTAAGAGTAGATCAGGGAACAAAACTGCTAACATTCTGGTCCTTGGGGAGTTTCCCTTTCAGTGGGGGCTGGAAGGAGGGAATCCCATGTAGAAAAAATGAGCAGGGTAAGAAGATAAGGGGCTTGGAAATGGAGACCCCACCCTCCTTCCACTAATACCCATATGAATGTGGCAAAGAAGCTCAGGATGGGGAAATGTATTCTCATTTTAGATCACTTGCTGCCCCGAATAGTATGGGCACAGGCAAATGAATCTTCAGGAAATTCTGAGTTGCAGATAGGTCCTTTGCCCTAAGAACACATGTTGGGGGTGACAAATATTTTTTCTTTAAAAAAAAATTTATTCATTTATTGATTCATTCATTCATTCATTCATGAGAGACACAGAGAAGCAGAGACACAGGCAGAGGGAGAAGCAAGCTCCCACAAGGAGCCTGATGCAGGACTCAATCCTGGACACCGGGATCATGCCCTGAGCTGAAGGCAGACACTCAACCACTGAGCCACCCAGGCATCCCAGAATGTTTTTCTTAATAAAACTCCATGGTCATATTGTTGTAAGAAATATTCCTTTCACTGTATTAACTAAGAGATTTGCAAGAGTTTCGGGACATGGATAGGATCTACTTGGGACCAACGGTAGATAGCCAGTCCTCTCTAGGTGGTCAGCATTTACGAAGCTCTCTGATAGCACTGAAGTATAGAGGCCTGTATAATCTGCTACAAAGGAATATAGTGAAAAGGTGTGTATTTTGCTAGGTAGGCATCTAGTTTACAGTAGAGTACCTGGAAAAGTTCCTTTTTCTATTAGCTGAAGCACTGAAAAGGTTATTTTCAGAGCCTTCCAGAAAATAAGCAATTAATAAAACATATTTAAGCCACAAATATTTTTAATGCCTGCAGGTTTGAGGAGAGTATTGCAGATTCTGACTACCCTGCATGGACGGTTAAAAAGAGGAAATGTGCTGGATTACAAATCCAGAGATTGGTGTTCAAGATCTTCCCGAGCCATTTGGGCCTCAGTCTCCTCAACAGAGAGGCTGGAAGAGATGGGATTCAAGCTATTATACAACTTCACTTGTAATGATAAATGACGTATACCACCATTAATAATAATGTACACAACTGAAACATAATTTTGACATTTAAGCTAAAACAACCAGAGAACACCAAAAGCAAACACCATTCAGATTTTTCTATTCCCTGTGCAACAAGCCTACCAAATGATAGCAAGAATAGTAAACCCCACCTAAAAACTTGAAACAGAAAAGGAAAACATTTTTTTGCTAGCTGGAGAGAAAAAACTTTAAAAATTAATTTGAAACACATTTTTCTTGCTTAAACTTAGTGCTCTTGTTTATTCTGCTTCCTTTTAGCTCCAGATGTATAGAAAGCCCCATATTATCAACTCATTCTAAATATTAGGTAATTTATGGTTGTGGTGCTAATGTGATGAAGCATGTGCCCACACAGGAACTCTGATACAGACATAGTGCAGCAAAGCTATTTTTGTCTTTTTTTGAATGTATTTTTTACTGCCCACCCTCCTTTCCCTACCTTCCTCCTTTCTTTCTCTTTCCTTGTACTCAATTCTCCTTCCTTCTTTTTATCTTTCATGTCTGGGTATATGCTGTTAAGTGTCATAGCAGACAGATTCTCAGATGGCCCCAATGATCCCTGTTTCCTGTTATTTACAAGATTTTATATTTCATCTCCTTGGATAATTTGCTAATCTAATCTACAAAATATGGCAGCATTGAGGGGATGTCATATCTGGGGTTCGGCTACAAATACTGAGACTTCCGTCTTGCTAGCAGATTCTCATTCTTGTTGGTTTCAATGAAGTAAACTTCTGTGTTGGTGAGAACCACATGACAAAGGACTGAGAGTGGCCCCTGACCAATAACTAGCAAGAAAATGAGGCCCTCAGTCTAACAACCCTCAAAAACCTGAATCTTGTCAACAACTATGGAAGTTGACCCTTCCACAGTCCAGCCTTCAGGTGAGACCGCAGCCCTTGTTGACATTTTGATTGCAGCAGCCTTCTGAGAAAATGTGAAGCAGAGGTCCCAGAGGATGGGTTAATTTAGAGGAAGGGTAGGGTACAACATCAACTGAATGCTGTTTAGACAGTATAAATGAATCCAATATACCGTAACTTGAAAGCAGTGTTCGATGGTGTAAAACACTATTCTTAGCAAATGGAATGCATCACAGTGAGTGGAAAGTACATAACTTCTCTGTTGGAGGCAAGACGAACTGTAGTGTAGCTGGCTGCTTAACTCCCTCTCAATCACCTCCTGCTTTAGCTGTTACTGCTATGGCTAAAAATAGCTGGCATTCCTAAAGTTCAGCTTCTCAGTCCTATTGAGGTTTCCCAAATCTGAGAGGTACTGGCTCAACCTTAAAATGAGCATCTATCTGATTATATCTGAAAATCTTTTTTATTTTTTTAGGATTTTATTTATTTATTCATGAGAGACACACAGAGAGAGGCAGAGACACAGGCAGATGGAGAAGATGTGGGATCCCAATCCTAGGACCCCAGAAACATGACCAAAGGCAGATGCTCAACCACTGAGCCACGCAGGTGCCCTTAGAAGCTTGTTTTATACTTCACTAGAAAGACAACAAATGGCTTTCTTAGGTCCTCTTTGAGGAGCCACAAACAATAATTTTTGAACTAGTAATAATTCCTAGTCTTTCATGATTTTTAGCCTACCTCTAGAGAGAGTATAGTTCAATATCCATTTACAGCATCTCTGAAAAGAATGTTTCACTTGACAAGACAGTCTGCCTTGCCCCTAAATTAATTCTCACTAGGAGAAACGAATGTTCTAATTCAAGTGGGTCCCACATTCTGAAAAAAACGTTAGTATTAACTCTGATCAGCATTCAAAATCTTGACAACAGATCCTTATTTTCTCTTTGGAGTCTTCATTTTGAAAATTAGGATTTTGACTCACAATAACATATTTCTTTTAGTTATTATTACCATGTTACATACACCACCTTCCATATTATATCATCTTCAATATTTTACATGTATTGTCTCCTTTAATACTGACAATAATTCCAGAAGGTGGGCATTATATACACTTAGAAATGGGTGGAAAGCTGGAGTTTAGAGAAGTAAGTTGCCTGTGTTTATACTGCTGTAGGTAGCAGAGATGGGATTAAAAATACAGGTCTGGGTGATTTCAAGCCTAAACTCAGAACCAGCAAAAAATAGTAGCTTTTTTTGTTAGACAATTTTTTTCTTGCTTCTCAAAAAATTCCCAGAAGGGAAAAATGAAAGCTCGATGCGCTCTTAATTCAGTTCTCAGAAATCAGTAAGCTGGCAAGCCACTAAGAGCATTTCCTAATTGTACTTGCACATTGAAATCAACAGGAGAGCTTTAAAAAATACTGATGCCTTGGCCTACTCCCAGAGACTTGAGTCAATTTCTCTGGGGTTCAGGCTGGGTTTCATGATTTTTAAAAGCCCCTGTGCTTGCAATGTGTGGCACAGGTTGAGAGCCAATAATGTAGAGAAATAGTTATAAGTCAAGTACTGAAAGGTTGGCTTTCCACCTTATT